ATTGACGAAGTACGCCCACTTTGTCCCGTTGACGCATCCATACACGGCGAGATCGATCGTGCGACTGTTTGTGTAGTATGTGATGAAACTTCATGGGTTCCTCGGTCGATTGTTTCTGATCGAGATCGCATCTTCATGAGCAGCTTCTGGTCGGAGTTTTTTAAAATGCAGGGCACAGAGTTAGCCATGAGTTCGGCTTATCACCCGCAAACCGACGGCTAAATCGAGGTGACGAACCGAATGTTAGAGTAGTACCTAAGGTGCTATGTTCACCAATTTCTGAAGAAGTGGGAGGATTTTTTGCCTTGGGCCGAATATTGGTACAACACGACATATCATAGCTCGACCAAGGCCAAGCCATTCGAGTTGGTTTACGGGCGTAAGCCGCCCATACTCGTGAGCTATTGGAGGGGGAAGTCGGTGAACGATGAGGTCAAACGCAAGCTCATGGAGCGAGATCTGATAATTCGAGAGTTGAAAAAAAACTTAGATGGATCCATTAATCACATGAAGTCATTTCACGACAAGGGACGACGCGAGAAAAGTTTTAAGCTAGGAGATTGGGTCTATTTGAAGTTGCTACCCTTTCGACAATGCACGATCGCGCAAAGGACCACGTCCAAACTCGAGGTCCGATACTATGGGCCTTATCAAGTGCTTAAGCGAGTCGGCAAGGTCGCCTATCGACTCGAGCTGCTGGAAGAGTCACAAATTCACCCTGTGATCCATGTCTCGCAACTAAAGAAGAGCTTAGATGAGGCGCCCAAGTTGAGTGACCGGCTACCTGCAACCGCATCGGATGGGACCCAAGTCGAGCACTAAGTAATTGTGAGGTGAAGAAGGCCAAGCGTTTCATTTGGGAAGTGTTAGTTGAATGGGAAGACTTGTCGGAGTAAGAAGCGACATGGGAGAACTTAGCTGAGATGCGCAAGCGATTTCCGACTTTCATCCTTGAGGACAAGGAAACACTTGAAGTGGACTAGAATGATGAGGATGTAGCTAGAAGACTAAAGAACACGTCAAGTCGGGCTTATCATGCGCGCAAGCGATTGGCTCGACTGACCGCGAGCGAGACAGTGGCGTGTGATGAATAATCGTGTATCTCCTCAACTCGATTTGCTTCAAAAAATGCTTTGCCACGGCTTCCTTCTCGGCGATAAGTGTGGACGACTCGGATTTCTCCTTATCTTCTCACAGTTTTGAGACAGCACGGGTGTTAATCCTTGCCAAACTCGAGGTTGTATGACAAAACTCTAAAGAATTCTAATCACACGAGATTTGCTCTTGCGAATGTTTTTTCTTATTACTTCAATATGATTAAATTGAATGGTATATAGGTATTTATAGGAAAAATTAGATCTAGCCCTATTATACCTATAATTCTAACTATAGAAAATATATCTAGTCCTAAAGTGACTAAATGTCTTGCATATCAAGACTTACCAAATTATAAAATTCCTAACCAACTACACGGCTAAACTAAATTACTAACCTAACCAGTCTAATCCTAAAATTAACGTAACTAGAATTATAATAACAATTCCTAAACTAATAAACTAACATATCCTGCTAATAACGCCAACTAACTAAATATATATATTATTAAATCCTAACCATCATCTAATATATTAAACTAACTAAACGAATACATAATTAATTTAAGTAACAAATGTCTTCTAGAAACCGTGCGCGCCAAGTTGTCTTGGCCAGCTCATGTGATCGCGCGTCCAACCCGCGTACTCCTCCGCGTGCTTGGTCGCGCGCTATTCCTTGATCTAGGCCTGTCTGCATATGCGCCATGCTCATACGCCTCACGCACCTAGGGCTCATGCGGTATCTTTGCGTACGTGTCTTTGTGATCGCGCGAGCTCCTCTTGCGCGTACCCGCTCCTTTACACTAGACTCTCGTCGTCCATCTTGCATTTGCGTCGACCTGTCTCCTATGTCTCGTATTCTAGCCCGTGCACGTCTTTTTGGCCATGCACACATTCTTTCGTCCTTTCATGCGGCCTCGCCCGATTGCATCCGCCATTGACTCTCGGCATGCTCGGACCTCGAAATCCCCATCTTCATCAGCGTCCGGGCACGCGAGCACATGTGAAGACGCGCGCACAGATAGTCGCCGAGTGGAGTTGCACGAGGATGTCGCGTGCATAGACGACACGCGCACACGGACCGAGCACGGCGACTAGGGTTACTTGACGATCAAGATGGGATTTCTTTTAGAAGTTCCAAGGCTTATTTTCCAACATGCTTTATTATTATCCCTAGATTGTTTAGGAGTGCATTAGTTTGGATACTTTAGGATTCTAGTGATTTACTTTCTTTAGAATTAGAAGTTTATTTCAATTTGGACTAGATTAAGTTGTTCTCTTTAAATACTCATGTTATTAGGACGATTTTGAGCATCAATTTATCAATAAGAAACCGAACTTTTGTTCAACTTCTTGTGTTAGAATTCTCTTTGATTTTTAGCACAAAAACCTTGTGACGAAAATGGAGTATGATCGCATTGTTCGACGCAATTTCGAGTTTGGCAAGGGCAATCCATCCGAGCTGTCTCAAATCGACGTCAAGTCTAGGAGACCTCCGAGATCTTCACGTCATTCGCCGAGAAAGGGCCGATCGCGCGCAACTTTGAGGCAAAACAAGCTATCGGGACATGCGATCTTCATCACCATAGCATGCTCACGTGCAAATCATCCAGTGTCCAATAGCACGTCCGCGCACGGCCAATAAGCGCGTTCGCACGCGCCTCTGTCCGCGAATGTTTTCGCGAGCGCCCCGTCATAGCCGTGTCGCAGATCGCCACCATAGTCAATGCCCCTGCACGAGGACTGACCGAGCTGTGCTCCTGCGCTCTACCCAGCGCCCGCACGCACCTACCAGCTGTGCCCTGCGCCCGCGCGCCACGCCAGCCAGCCTGCGTGCGCCGGCAGCCGCGGTCCAGTGTGCCCCTGCGCCAGTGGCTGCGGCACACCTTCTATGAACATGTGCACTGGCGAGGCTGTGCCAACAGTGTCCGCGCGTGCTCGTGAGCTACCGCGCAGTGGACCATGACCACGGTCAAGTCAGGCTGCACCTAGCCATCGAGCGACAGATCGGTTCACGAGCGAGCCGTCAGTCCAATGCAGCCGAACCGGTCCGGGCAAGTCTGGGCGGTTCGAGATTTTTCGATTCGGAATTCCAGTTCGAGCATGAGCAGAGACTTTAGCATTTTTCTGAACCAAGTCAGTTCAAGTTCAAGTCAAAATTAATTGCAGACTTAGAATATTTTTTCGACATATTAGCTTAAGTACCAGCTCAAGCCATTGGGAATAAATCATCCCACAACATCACTTAACCACATATTCAAACCATACATAATATGGCATGCTCATCAATAAGATACGAAAACAGTATCATAATACTTAGTTCAAAACCAGAAATTTAAGTCATGCATATCAAGTCAATTCATAATCGAAACGTATTCTCCAAAACACCTAAGAAAAATCACATAGACATAAAATATCACATAATCATTAATAACATCATAATAGTCAAATCACTATCCAATTTCAAGTCATGCAAAACCGTTTGAGATCATAATCAGTTCAACTCAACCAAGACAATGTATAATATCAGAATATCCAAATCTCAATTTAAGCATACCAATTAAAATTCATGATCCAAAACAATCTCTTCAAACCAAATCATACGAGTTCAGCAAATAATATCATGATAAGAAGAAACAAATAAATAGATCATAATATTGCACACAATGACCCCACTCGCCCGTCCTTTGCCACGACTACCAGCTCAACCTAATAAGGAGGAAATAATGGGCGCGAGCAAACCACTAGCTCACCGTGGGAATCACCAAGCAATCTATTCGATATAATGACTGAAAACATAATCGCAGCATGAACATAAATCATCTAGTCTACCTCTTATACTGCCCTACGCTCATGTGTACACATCTAACCGTCGGGACAAGCCCATTCATGGGAGCTAAACCGTCGGCAACAACATCAACAGGAGAAACCTCTCATTAGGCACAAATAGAAGAACGTCGGCAACAACATCAACGGAGAACTCTCGCAGACTAATGGTTCACACACATACATTGATTATAAATTCAAGTAATTATAAGGAATAACCACGTAGTGAAGTTTATCAACACCCACCTGATCAGACGACAAGAATATAACACACAAATAGCTCGTTAGGTTGTTGAGGCTCGATTTCTCAGGAACCTACATTTAGTCAAGATAATTTTCATAAATACATTATCTTGACATTTCGGAAATTCAAGGGAAAATTCTCACTTAATCAAAATTATTGATTAAGGAGTTTGTGGAACTCTTGTGGAATTTGGAACTCTCAAAAGATTGGAACAAGACTCGGAAAAATAGTCACGAGGTTAAAATTAAGGTTCGGCTCGAAAACGGGTCGAATAGCTAAAAGACGGACGAGTGGAAACATAAAAACCAAGTTGATGAAAATCGAATAGTTCTTCAACGCGCAGTCCCCATATAACGAACAAAATTTTTGATGTAGAAAACATTTTGGACTGGTTTTGAAATTACGGAAAGTCAAGAGATAAATCTACATATTTCGTGAAAACCTAAAAGGCAAACGAGCAAGTTACAAGGACAAAAATTGGTGAAACTTCAACCACAAGCTGCAGTCAATTCTATAGAAAAACTGCTCGCGCAGTGTTCGTATTACGAACGTAACTTTTTATATAAAACTGATATTCGAATGATTTTAGTACCCTTGGGGCGCGTTTGTTAGCCCGGACAGGGTAAGATTAGGCCTCCAATCCACCCTTTATCTAGCGTTTGGTTTCCAAGATATCGGCCCGCAAAATATGATAGAGCCCGCGATGCACAGTACTTTTGTCGTGGAAATTCGAGATTATTTGATCATGGCCAGAGGGTAAGATAATTTTTGTCTCAGTATTAAATAATGAATTTACAAACTTATCCTTAAAAGTAAATATTATTGACCAGTTTAACCTAGGTCAAAGCAAAATTTACTCTGTTTGCCATTAACCTAAAATCAGAAACCCACCTCTTGACATTGGTGGTGACACTGGGATGCTTTACCACCTCGGCCGCCGATGCAGGCACAGAAGGAGATGGAGGCAGAAGCTGGAACTAATAAATTGAGTGACACAAATTCACAACCGATCAAATACTCCGTCCACAAAATCGTCACCACGAAGCACATCTCCCCGCCGCTGCAGAAAACCAAATGCGGACTGTGCACTAGCGGCGGCATCCGGCAGCGGTCGTGGGGGCGGTACTCGGCGGAGATCCGAGACACGTTGGCACACCTTCCTACTCTTAACACGAGGCGGTCGACAACATTTGGTTGGCGCGGGATGGAAATTGGGGAGGGTAAAAAGGTTCTTATGTGGCTGGTGGGGCATGAAATTTTGGTGGGGCTGAGAGCGGAGTGGTGGATCTGGGTGCGAATGAAGGAGTTGATGGAATGTAATTTTTTATTTGAAGGGGCAACATAAATGCAATTTTTTTATGTTAGTGAAAAATCATGCCCCTCATTGTTCTTTCTGCTATGGGGAAAATAACCACTGGTATGTTCCTTTTGTTTGGCTCACCTTTTACACTTTTTTTTTTTTNTTTATGTCGGACTTTTGGCTTGTGTACCAGGCAGGAGAAAATGCTGTCACTTGTGGGGTTTCAAATGTGTCCGATCTTCAAGAACTGACATTCATCAAAGATTTGCATTTCAGGTAACCTTGTATTAATATTATTCTAATGCTGTCACTTAATGATGTTTAAGAATCACCCAGTTGTGGTGAAAGTAATTTATGAGTCCAATCATATGTTGAGAATACAACAGGATGTTTTATGAAATGTTTTGTAAATTCAAGGTGCTTTTTTCGCTCAGTGATGCAAGTTTGATTTTCTTTTGCAGTATGATGCCTTGGAAATAGGTATTATCACTACTGATGATTTTACAAATGCGGACATTTTGAAAGTGACTTATCCAGATTCCAGCTATGCAAAGAGGTTGTGTGGAGATTTGAATAGTGATCCTGCAATTCCTATTGTGACTGGATTCCTCGAGAAGATTAGCCCTTTATCTTCAGCCTCATCTAACCATTTCTTTGCATTTGATTTCATTAAATTCATGATTTTGTAATGAAAAATTGCAAAAATATTTATCTCCAGCCATGAGCAGAGTGGTGGATCTGGGCTCAACGACGCCGTCGAGGAAAGTGGAGGAGTTGGCGCCGCGGAGAAGAGAGTCGAGGGCCTCCGCGAGTTAATGGTCGACAACCTCCATGCCCGGCAGCGGCACTGACGGCCCTCTGTCAGCGGTGATGGTGAGAGAAGTTGCAGAGATATTGAAGATATTTCATTCCCACCCAATTCTGTACAGCATGAAGGGAAAAAAATATATATAATTTACATTTTGGGGGCAAAATTGTAAATGTTCATCTAATCGTATTTTTTATCCATGTAAACAAACACATAAAACATATTATGAAATAATCTTATCTTAAGTAAATCAAGAATAACAAACATAGGTATAAAAATATCTCTGCACCCCAATCTTGAACACCTAGATAAAATTTATCTAATCTGATCTCCCTAAACAAACGTGCTCTTGGAAGAATAAGAGACAGATCTACAAATCATGTTTAGACTTAAAAAACTTTCGACTTAAAGACGACAGCCAAACCATCAAGGAACGAACAACTTTGAACGATTATGATTAATAACAAAAATTGACTGCACGACGATCAAACGTTCGACATAATGTTCAATACAAAAATGATAAACATTTGATTCTTCTTCTTCATGAAAGATAACAGATTGGGCTAATTTATATGAAGACTTCAAAAAGAGACGACAAGGTTTCCGTGTTCAAAAACAGCAAAGGATACAGACCACATACAATACCGTAAAGAATAAACATAAAGAATAAACGTAAAGAATAAACGCAAAGGATACAGCCTATACAATACCGTTTCAGTGTTCAAAAACAGCAAAGGATACAGACCACATACAATACTGAAACACCAGAAAAATTGGACGCGCAATCATCAAACTTCGACCATAACTTTCACTATAAAAATGATAATAACCTAATTATTGCTCAAGATGAAACCTAAGAGACTGGACTTTAAATTACCAGAAGAGTTTGAAACCGTTCGACCGAATCTTGGAGGTAAAAAACCGCCACTAAACAGCAATCAGTGCAAGGTTTTCAAAAAGGGCTTTTCAAGCTCAACACTCAAACGAACATCAATCATCACGAGACTAGGGCTCGGATAACGAAATGAGTCGATAAAACCACTGCATTAAACACAACAAACGAGGGCTTGATTTATCACAACGAGAGAGAGTTCCAATATCCACGTAAAATTTCATAAAGAAACAAACAAACGATCTAAAAATAATACGTCCACAATCAACGGAGTCTCAATTATTGAATACGAATTAGTCGAACGAATCCAAAAACGAGTACAAAACAAGGAGGTTCGGACAATTACCTTCCTTCGACAATCTACAAACTTGGTTGGCGGCGGAGCGAACGAACGAAAGAAAGAATCGACACCTCGGCTACAGTTCCCGAATGGTAGGATGGGGTGAGGTGATTGCCGAGAGGGATCTTAAGGGTGATAAGGGACGATATTTTGGTGAAGAAAAGAGAGATATGAGAGAGTGAGAGGGAGTTTCAGTTCCAAAATTTCTTCTAAAGCTAGGAGAGAGCAATTGTCGTGGGATATAGGGGAAAAAAGATGGAAAATTACCTTAAGTTGTGATGGAGATATTAAAGACATTCTAGCTAATAAATCATACTAAAACTAAGCACATTAAGGCCCTTGAAGAGGGGTGGAACGGCTGGTAATGGGGGAGAGAGGTTACCAAATTTGACTAAGGGAATCATTACCTTATGTAGCCTATACACCTTTTGAATTTTGAATCAAAGTCATGGAACCAAAATGCTAAGTTTGGACCGGTTCTCTTCAAGGTATGGGCCAATTTTAGACTCACAAAATGAGCCAAAAAGTCTCCAAGGTCTGGATATAATACCAAAGAAAATGGGTAAAAAACGGATCGAAAACGGTTCTATGCGATTGAACCAAAAAATATCGAACGAACTAGCGAATAAATAAAATTAATTACATCAAGCCATACACTTAACATACAAATAAAATCAAGCACATATTAAAACAAGAAAAATGCAATCACATAAAATATGGGCAAGAACATTAAGGCGAGCACATAATAATAATTGAACACGAGCAATAATAAAGTGAAATAAAAACAAGCAATAAACATAAAGACGAGGCAATAAAACGAGCACATAAAAATAAATAAATGCAGCCAATTATGGAATAAAAGCGAGCAATAATAAAATGCAAGCAAGCAAAAAAAACAATAATGCAAGGAATCATATAAAACGAAAGGGGCGCTACAACCACGAACCCTAATTATCAATAAAAACAACTATTTCTCAAAAATATTTTTAAATATTACAAGTATTTAAAGTTAAATTAAATAAAATAATATACCTCTCTGGAACAGCTGGTCGTTGGACCCATGCCGGCAGCCGCTGAGTCGCCCGTAGCCGGCAAGTGTCGGCAGCCGTTGAGTTGTCCACAGCTGGACAACTGCCGGCAGCTAAATCTCCTTCCATCGTAGCAAGACTGAATTCTTCAGCAAATTCATATGCCACTACGTCACTTACGGTGTTTTCAGTTCTAACTATGTGGAGTACTGCACAAGATTGAAGTTCAATTTTTTGCATTTCTTTCTTCTTTGTTTTGTTCTTTGGGATTGAATATGCATGTGTAACAGTGTTGGCGTCTCAAAGTGAATAAAAGCTTACATTAATTTTTTTGTACTCAATAATAACTATACGACAAATATTCGTCANTTATTATTATTATTATTATTATTATTGTGATAATATTAATTATTGCTTGCCAAATTGAATGTCTAAATATTATATGTTTAATTGTCAATTAATTGCTAATTGTATATTTTGATTAATAATATTAGTATTCTAAAATAATGTACGTATTTAATTTATATTGTCCGGAGTTTTGTTTATTTATCGTGCGATCGATTGGAACTGTCGAAATTAGTAATCGGAGAACTCGAGCCCGAGAGCTGGATTTATTTTCGTGCGATTGAATCGGGCCCGAGAGCTGAATATATTAATGTGCAATTTTATCAAGCCCAAGAATTTTCGTTTGAACCGAAATCGAGCCTGTGAGCCGCTTTATTTTTGTGAACCGGCCCGTGAGCCGATTTAATTGTTGCGAACCGAACCCGCGAACCGGCCCAAAAACCCATTTGGCCCAGCCTTGAACCCGGCCCAGCAGAATTTTCCCTTCTCCCTTTGTTTTTCCGCGTGCGTGTGTGATTTGTGTCTTGGGAGAAAAGTTTTTTTCAAAACCCTAAGCCTACATATATCTCGCTCTCTCTCTCTCTCTCTCGATTGTGACTCACCCGCAGTCATTATATCTCGTCCCTTTTCTGGTTCTCTTCACGATCGCGACTTTCAGATCGTCCCTCGCAATCATCATCGTCATCATCAACCCTCTCCCTTTCTCTGTTAATCGCCATCGTCATCCGTCCATCATCGCTCGATCATCATCGTCTTCATCTCCGGCACCCAGCAACCCTGCAACCACCTCCGACGACCTCGGTTTTGTGATTTTTCGGCGAGTTCGTCTTCCTTGCGAGCAGTCCAAGACGTCCGGTGACCCAACAGCACCGCCGCCCCGCGACCTCCTCGCTGCCGCACCGCGACCAACTCAGCCGCCACGCCGTGTCACGTTGCCACGCCGCGACCAGCAGCACCACTACGCCGCGACACCTCCCAGCAACTCCCGCCGCGCCGTGAGCTCCATTTTCTGATCGAGCAGCGTCGCAGCGAATCTCCTTCTGTTCGAGCAGTGAACTCTAGCGGAGACCGAGCAGCAGCAACGCACTCTCTCCTCCCGTGCGACGAGCTCTCCTTCTTCCGGCGAGACGCGAGCATCCGTCGAGCCCATTCGAACCCTTATCGCTCGTTTTTCGAGAACGGTATCGATTCTCGACTTCTCATTTATCTTACGTTATTATCTTTGTGTTGTTGTGCCTTTCGAGTTCGCGTGAATATATGGATGTACATGTCGATTTTGTTGTGTTCATATGTATATATGTTTATTGTGATGTTATACATATGATATCGTCGTGATTTTATGTCAAACTCGTCGATTCGTGCGAATCAAGCAAGAACTGAATTTAAGTGATGAGTTTCTGTGAATTTAGGAACTTAGGATTATTTCGAACACAATGGCGCTGACCTTGTGTCGATTGGAGGTGTATATTTGCTGTTATGATTTTTCGAAGTTTATATTGGCTGTTTTGAATAAAAAATTCATTATAAATTGAATACTAGTTCGATTGCCTTGAAATTTTAGGAGCAGCTGCTGTTGATGAATATGTAGCTGCTGTAAAATTTTTGTGATTTTTGAAGGTCTGGAAGTATTTTTGGAAAATTATTTTGATTTCTGTTCAATTTCTTGTAAAATGCATAGTTAATTGTGTAATGCTCTTTTCTGGCCAATTTTCAAGTATGTGATGTCTCAGGCATGATTATATGTTGTATAAAAGTTTTAGAATTATTAGACTAGGTTTGATAGGGTTAATGATTTAATTGGTGTTTCTGCCCGAAGTTGTTTTAATTATAATAAATTGTTCTGAAGCTGAAAAATTCTGAAAATTTGTGGAGGTGCTGATTATGTGATGTTTAACATGGTGTAAAAAGTATAGAATTTTTGGAGTTCAGTTGCAATCAGTTTTGATATAATTGCGATATTTGGTTGAATGTTGTTTTAATTTTATAAATTGATATACTTAGTGTTGAAGGCTGATAAATTTATTTGTTATTGTTTACATGCTGTAGTATTTTTAATAAGAATTTCATAGCCTGAATCGTCCATTATCATGTGCTTTTAATTTAAACTTGTTTATGTTGAAAAACATGTTTGAATTTTATAAAATTATGCATAAGGAGTTTGAAGCTGAAATTGGGTGATCTTACTTAGAACTGGGATGTGAAATTTATTTAAAAGTTTCAGAAACTAACTCTTTGATTTGATACACCTTCTAATTCAAGGGTGAATTTGAGAAATTGTTTTTCTATATTGAAATTTGTTAAGTGTTGTTGACCAAATGTGCCATGTGTCTACTTGTGGATCGTTTGTTTTTCTTTCACTTGCATTTATGTGAACTTGAATATGTGGTTTGATCGAGTCTAAGTCCTAGTGTTCCTATATCCACAGAACTTCACGAACCACTTGGTCGAACCAAGTTCGGCTAAGTCAATTTGTGAATTTTCTACTTAGGTCTAGATTAAAGTGTTGACTTTAGTATCTGGGCTTAATGTAGGTGTCTAAAGGTGTTGACCTCGCCTCATTTCGAGATTTGTGACTTTGAACTGTTGCTGCAATCAGGTGGGTACATTTGTGTTGTATCCATAATTATCGCATTTATTATTTCGTGTAATATTTCTTTGAAAATTTTTATATGCATGAGAAGAACTCTAGTCTAAGTGTCCCGAACGCTAGTGCCTTGATGAATGCGAAAACAGTAGGAGGTCGCCTGCCCGTTGTATCCGGGAGGGACGCCCCATGCCGTCGTATCCGGAAGGGGAAAAACATCTCTGCTGTCTCCTGGAAAGGATCCTACGAACCGTTGTACCCGGAGGTGGGAATGTTTCCAGTTACAGCCATGCCGTTGTATCCGGAATGTTGTTGTATGTACATAAGAGGTTTGCGATAGGGCTGGGTAGGGGGTTTAGGCTATGAATTCTATGCATACCGATACTGACACTGTTTACGGTGATACTGCTTTTAAAAATAATTATACGGGATAATTGTGCGATAATGGTGAGCTTGTTGGTTGCTCACCCTCATTGTTTTCTGTTGTTGTCTCCTCTTCCTTTCTTTAGGTTGAGCTGAGTTGGTGGCGGTGGCGTAAAGACGAGCGAGAGGATGGTCGTTGGTCAAATTATGTTATCGCTATATTATGCTTCCGTCTGTTTATGATTTGCTGAACTGATACTAGACTTGATTTATTTTTCCCGCTTGGATTTGGATATTTCATTATGTGCTTATATCCCTGCTTTGATTTTGTATACTGATTATGTGTTATGCATGAACTTGTTACTTAATTATTTGCTTTCATACGTTGGATTAATTCTTGCTTCCGCTTTCGAATTATGTTTAAGTTTGGTTGAACATTGTTTCATGCTGGACCTATTTGAATGTTTTGAGACTTATGAATTTAAGGGATAATTTTATATCGTTAGTCCGAGCATGTGTAGGATCTTTTGTTTGATGGATGTGTTTATCTGATGTCATTAGTAAGTAGCGCCCGTTTCTCGTTAAATGTTTTTATTTTAAAATTTTTTAAAAAAAACTCTAATTTTTATTAATTAATTCAATAAATTCCTTAAAATAAAACGGGGCGTTACAACAAATGTCGAGTAATAATCGTCGAGTACGGAGTAACCAAAAAATATAATTTAAAAAAATAATATGCGATTAATTATGCATCTGATTCTTTGCCTAATATCACAGTTCCGATGTATTTATTACGTAGTTTAATCACATAATTTGAATGGTAAAATATTGTTACTCTACGATCTACGTTGATGCAAAACAGTCGCATAATGACTCACATTTTACGAGGCAATCACTCACGTCTTTGAACAGTCTTTTCTGCATGAAGATAAAATATTGATCAGGAAGGAACTTGATGTGTTATGTATCAGTATAAA